AAGCTTCTCTCCCGCGGCCATAATCTGCATCCCCTTCTCGCTCATGTGGCCAAGTCGTCGATACCAAGTCATGCAGTCGACGGATGATGATGATGATGCTTGTCCTGCGGCAAGCAAGTGGTCGATCTTCTCGTTGGCGATGTAGAGAAACCCCTCGCGTTTGCCTTGTGCCACCACCAGGGCACCCTTGGACACCTTCCAGCTTCTCTGCTCGAAGGATACTCTGTAATCAGAGTCAATCAGTTGCCCGACTGATATAAGATTTTGCCTGAGATCTGGTACATGCCGAACATCATTCAGCATCAAGGTGGTCCCGCCCTCCATCTTGATGGTACAATTTTCCTTTCTGGAAACCTTACAAGGTTGATCGTCGCCAAGATAGACTGTCCCCAAGTCCTTCTTCACGAACGATGAAAGCAGCTTTTGTTGTGAGGTTGCATGAAAAGATGCGCCAGAGTCGATGACCCACGCATCACTTTTGTCTTCTAGGGATAGGAGAAGTGCATCCGAATCCGTCTCGTGCATGAGATTGGCTGCACCGTCAGCCCGATCATCCCCTGCTGATGCTTGAAAAGTAACTCTGCAGTCCCGTGCAAAGTGGCCCTTCTTACCGCATCTGAAGCACTTCTCTTCAACGTAACCATTCGGGTTAGGCCCTTTAGACTTCCCTCTGGATTTTGATTAGCCTCGTCATCCTCTACCCTTCTTCTGTGCACGCCCTCGTGCATCGACATGCAGAGCACTCCCACTGCTAGAGGCCTCAGCTCCTGAGACTTTGCGGCGAGATTCTTCATCCAGAATTACCCCAACCACTGTGTCGAGCTTCATCTTGTCATTGCCATTAGTGTTGCTCACCTCCATTACCATATTCTCCCATAAATCTGGTAGACAAGAAAGTAGCAGAAGAGCTTGGATCTCGTTGTCGAACTTTAGATCTACTGCAGCAAGCTGTTGCACCACAGCCTGAAATTCGTCCAAGAAGTCCGCCACGCGAGCTCCTTGCTGCTCTTGAGATTGAATAGCTTCTTCATCAGGTACACCTTATTTGAAGCAGACGGCTTCTCATACAGCGCCTCCAAGGCCTCCATCAACTCCTTGGTGGTGGTCGCATGCGAGACGTTGTAAGTCACATGCTGGTGAAGGTTGAGCCTGATGGTGGCAAGTGCTTTACGATCGAGCACCTTCCACTTATCGTCGTCCATCTTCTCAGGTTTCCCCCCCTCTCCTTGGAGGGGTAGGAAAAGATCCTTCTGGTACAAATAGTCTTCTATTTGCATCCTCCAATACCTGAAATTTTGGCCGCCGAACTTCTCATTTCAAAGTCTGTTGTCTTCAACTGTAGATCCCATGGCGAAAGATTATGTCTTTCCCGTATTTGTGAATAGTACCGTATCCGTGAATAGTATCGTATCCGTGAATAGTATCGTGTTCGTGAATAGTACCGTATCTGTGAATAGTATCGTACACGTGAATAGTGCTGTACACGTGAATAGTGCCCAATGCCTTAAAAGAGTAAATATTAATCTAACTTATTTTCTGATGTGGAGGATCCACTTTTAGTGACAGCCACAGAGCATACGATAAGCAGATATATATACTCTAAGTCAGGCTTTGATACCAGTTGTTAGGATTCACCCCAATAATAAAGCCTCGAACGGAGACTTAATCACAAAATAAAGGCACAAAATTCAACACAGAGTACTCACAGATATACGTGGTTCACTCCTTCGGAGCTACTCCACGGTGCAACGACGACGCCAAATTCTTTTATATCCCAAAAGAATTGATCCAAGAGAACACCCTCTCTTGATCAGATACACTCCAAGAACTCTCACAAACTCTCTCTTTGTTTTCTCTTACTCTTCTATAAGAAGAGTTGTTTCTGAGATGAGATTTCCTTAAGAGTTTAGCGCCCTATTTATAGTGTTTGAGAAACACTATGCACAAATAAAATATTATTAGTGGGACCCGCCACTAATAATAAATAATTATGGGACCTGCTACCTTTTCTCATTTTTCAAACAAAGTTGGCCACCAACTTTGATTTGTCAAAATAGATGGGCTGTGTTTTCGGCTAACAGTATGGACCTATCGTGGTCGACACAAAAGAATTACAAGAATTACAAGAATCACAAGAATTCTATCTTTCTACCGCGATCTTGCTATTTTATGTAAAAGAGAAATTTGTTTTTCTCTATCAGAATTACTTCTAGTGTACAGTCCTTTAATATACATGGTGAATCACCCAAAAATATAGTGAATGGGGATACTGCCATTAGAATGAGGATATTGTCTGTAATGGTCGAAATTAGGAGAGGTAGTTAATTCTTTCATAGTTCGATAAACATAAGATCAGAGGAGCAAATGATGCCCTAGCTAATTCCCCTAGACATTTGATTTGCTATCGCGAAGCTTTCTGACTACTGTATGATTCCTTTTTTTTAATGAAAGAACAAAATAACAAAGTTATGAAAACAACTAATTAAAAACACTTTTTGACTTATATCTCGAAAGTCAATCGATGGTGGATCAGTAAACCCCGCAATCGGCTCTATATTAGGACAACCATCTCCAATAGGATCTTGTGGATCTGCGTTTTTAGTGGAGTAAAAGACATAGAAAGTTTTTTACTTAAGCCTTGAAAAAAATATCTTCTGGCTCCCCCTTAATTCTCTTTAGAAATAGATCATACTAGTGGAATATGCTTTGAAGTTAGTTCGAACTATAATAAAACCCTTTGTCAGTGTATCCAAATAGCTCTCGCTCATTAGGGACAAACTCATTTTATATTTCCTTGTAGATCAGCAAACCAACCATGTGCTTCAAGTTCAATAACATTTAGGTAATTTCTTGATCTTCGATAAAGCAATTGTTAGTGTGGCAATTCTGATTTTCGACTACAGCTTTAAAGATGTTGTTTAAGTGCTCATATTGAAACATAGAAGCATGTATATCTCTACAAATTTCAACATTCTTCAGAGCTTACTTTTAGTTTCAAGAATGACCTTACAAAGTAAAAGAAGGAAAATGGTGAATGCATGCTATGATAAAAAATGATAATTAAATGGAAAAGGAAATAGTGACAATGAGAACTAGACGGAGGTAAAGTTGTTAAAGTTTTACATACTTTTTGCTTCTTTGCTACTTTATTCTCTTGAGGAATAGAAGATTGACAAGCGTCAATCACAAAACCACTGGCTTTTGGAGAAGATGGATTTGTGTAACTTCCACCAAACGTTGGTGTCATCAACTAATCTCCTTTCTTTATTCCCTAATTGACATGATGGAAATTTTCCAAATTCAAGGATATTTTCTTGAGACTATATCAATACTTAACAGAGGAGTAGAAGCATTTCTCCATAAGTGAAAAGATGAGAACTATCATGTAGGCATTTCATTGTTTCCCAATCACCAGAATCTATCCAACCCTCAAGGAGCTTTAAAGTCTTTGGATCCAAGTGCTTTTATTATATATGGTCAATTGGATTCTATAGAAATTGATATGTTTGATTTGAAATACAGTTCAACCAATGGACATAAATCTTAGTGAATGTGTACTTGTATCTCATAGCTGGGATAATGAAAGATGAGCAATGTGCTCGATATTAAAGAAATATTGAATGCACAACTGCACAATTGTGTTTTGCATATTGTACTACCTTTGGACTGATCAAAAAAATCTAAAGATTTTTACTGATTTAGACCAAATTGTTGTGTCACTATGTTGACACAATATTTTCGATGATAGTATCATTCCATGACCCATAAGGCAGTCATTCTTGACGAATACTTATCATGTATCAAACAAAACCTTAGTCTGTAAGGTTAGTTCTTCAGTCACATCAATCTCGTCAATAAAACTGTAATGTTCATCATAAGAGAGATTAACAATAGATCTAGCCAATCTATCTTGATGGCCCCAGTCATAGCAATGAACGACTTTCATATGGGTTTATATATGTCGGCTTGAGAATTGACTAATTTTATCAAAGAGGGGAATTTCTTCTTGATCCTATCTGGGACATCTTTTGTAAATATTCCTCGCACATACATTGCCAAACATCGAGAGGTGCCAAAGGTTATGAGAGGCTGCAGGAGTACGCCGAAAAGCGAGGGAGGCGGTGGGATGTAGTTGTTGCGAATTAGGTTTAATTTTAAAAAAATAAATCTCAAACCGCTTTTAAATAACGATCAAAAAACGGGTTTTGCCCGCAATCGCCTGTTATTTACTGCTGTGGTGCGTTATTAGGCGTTTTTGCAAGCGAAAAACGTATATTCCGTAATATGTCATCGCTATTGGGCGATAGCGTAGCGGGAAGGGATTGCTATCGCTATTAGCGCCGCTATTGCGCGGCTATTTACAACTATTTATAACAGTTCTCACTAGGAACACACTCTTCGTAGTACTCCGGAAATCAATAGACCAGCCATGTGCTTGTGATCCCACAATGTTAATGTGATCTCATGATCCTCCATGAAGTGTTCCTAAAATGATTTCAGTTCTTTGCAAAAGTCTTGAACAAAATTATCATGTTTTTTGCCTTAAATGTTCTCTGTTTTAATGATATTTCATTGACTCTTAACGGATGTGTCTTCTTGAGGAGGGTAAGTAACAATAGACTATCGAATCTATTGAAAGCCATAAATTCATATAAAAATTAAAACTTTACCCTAGGGGTGAATTTATGAATCTTAATTATTTTTCTTCAAAAGATGCTCTTATTTGCTGCCTTGTTAATGAAGACGATTTTGATTACACAAATTATGGTTTGTTGAACGTGAAATAAATAAAAAATTAAACTAACAAATACAAATCAGAAAAGAAGTCATCAAGGTTAGACCTCTTAACCTATGGAATACAAAAAAAAAAAAAAAAAAAAAAACTACTAATGTTGCCGGACCAACTGGAATTTACATTGACGTCAAATAGGCAAAAAGATGAAGTCTAATAGATTGATTAAGTTATTCATTAATTCTATCCTCATTTCTCAAATATCATTTTCTAATATCCCTAATATCAGCTAAATAGCTCAGCAAATCCCTCGTTATCCCTTCAAAAGACTGACCTAATGTTTTCCTCAATCAAATTTTATGTATCACGCCTCTTTATGTGACCTATACACAAAACCCCTCTTCTACAACAACCCACAATGCTAAAAAAGAGCACCCTCCTTGCCCTTTCCACCCGCAGCTATACAGAGATAGGAGCAAGGCAATTAATCACATAAAAATTCTAAGCAATGAGAATACCATCTAACCCCTGAAAGAGTAGCCCAACATCATCCAAAAGTCTTCAGCTGATAGCTTTCAAACAAGGAAGAAGAGAAAGGTAATGAAAGCCAATTATCAGTTTAAGCGCTCTTTTGCTATGCTCTCTCTTTAGGAGGTCATTCTCCGTAATTGTACGTTCTCACCCTTGTCATTAGAGTCTAATTCCGAGCCGCCACGTACGCCTCTATCGTTGCCACTTCACTTTTACCCCTCCACGCAGAGCCACGCATACCTCTGTTGTGGTCACTAGACCGCGAGGCCGTCATCATTGTCACCCAAGATCTTGGCGTTGTCACCGTCTTCCCTGATCATCATCACCTCCTCGAATGTCATAGTTTCCCGACCTCACAACCACCTTTTGTTGTTTTG